TTTTTTTTTTTTTTTTAATACCTCTTCTGAGTAAGGACCTTACACATAGTAGATGAACAACAACAACCAAAAAAATGTAAATAATTTTTCTAGTTCCTTGATTCAACCAATATGTGTAAATAATTTATCTAGCTTATCCATCCATGTGTAGTTGTTAAACACCTACAACCATGCTAGATGCTTGAGGTCCATCAGCAAAATAAGGGCCCTGTTGTCATGGAGCTTACAGTCCAGAGAAGGGAGATAGGCAATAATAACAGGCCTAATATGCAAATGATAGTGTGTTAGAAGGTGATAAGTACTATGAGAAACAGTAGTGTGGATTAAGGGTGTGTCACAGTGGGGGCAGAACAAAGAAGGCTGAAAAGAGGGTGATCAAGGTAGACCTCATTGGACCGTGCCAGATAACAAATGCCAAACTTCGCCTTTCTGAAACCACGTTTCTCATGCTTCCGTGGTGGTGCCTTTCTTTTGACTCAGTGGTGGAAACAAGGAAACAGATAAGTGCAATACAGCTTCATATCCCTTTTTTTTTGGGGGGGGGCATTTTCTTCAGTACTGCTGTCTTTTTTCTTTCTCTCCAGCTTTTGGCACTTCCCATATGAACAGAAATGCTTCTATTTGGTGCCTGGGCCCTGCTGGTCTTGATCCCTTGCCCAGGTAAGGCTATTTGGGGAAGTTTCTTTAGCCAGTATTTGCTGGAGCATGGGTAGCTGGTTAGTGAGGAAGGGGATAGGATGTTCTGAGTAGGGCAATACTTATTATTCATTAATCTGGACCCTCGGGAAAGATTCCTACTTCTTGGATCGCTATGCACAGGATCCTTAGGCATCTCTGGCTGGTAATTGGGATACCCCAAATCAAGGGACTGGATAGGAAGCTACCAGAGAAAACCCTCCCTAGGAAATAGACTTCTCTGCTTGGCTTCCTGCTCCCCCGGGACTGTCCTATATTTTTCCTGTTCGGGATATTTTTGCCTCTTTGATGCTTGTCATGACAAACTGCAATAGGATATGAATACGACGGGGCCCATAGTTCATTGTGAGGAATGGATTCTCCCTATGGCAGGAAGGGAACTGGAGCCCTAGTGGGTAACATTGCTATAAGAGGTGTGTTTTCAAAGAGGAGACTGGTATTTGGGAGATGATGTAAATGGTGGACCTGGAGTAGCCAAAGGGGACCTGGAGTGAAGCCTTTAGCAGAATGTGCCCCTCACTTACATCAGGCTTCTAAAATTTACCTGCTATCTCTTTCACCGAATCTTAAGTAGATTTCTCTGATAGACTGAACTCTTAAGCATCTGAAAACATTTGCTGCCTTAGCACCAAAGCAAAAGTGGAACAGTCTCAGTTTGAGAAGAAGAGGTGGAAAGTTCCATGGGAAGTGAATGACCCGGGAGTCACCTTTTAGGGGAGTGGTCCTCAAAGTTTGGTGTCTGTGAGTTTCACCAGGAGTGCTCGTTTTGTTCACTCACATGTTTCCAGGTCCCACCTTCAGAACTTCCTAATCCTTCAATGTGAGCTAGATCTGGAATCCGCAGTTTTACAAGCATTCCAAGTGATTCTGGTGAAGTTAAATCCTTATACTATGATTTGAGAGAAACACTACTTTGGGGCTTAAGTAACACAGCTGTTTTGCTCAGGGATCTACTAACCCATCAGAATCCTGAACAGCCAGTCTAGGGAAGCTTCCAAGAATTCTGGAAATTGAGGAAGAGAATAGCCTTCTGGGTATCAATTTTTGGGGACTCCATAATTTCCAGTGACACTAAGAGGGAAATTAGGATCCCAAGAAAGAAGATCAGTTGAGGAAGTGTTGGAAGAACCGGGGCTCTAACTTGATTAAGGGCCTTATCTGCCCCTCTGTACTGTTTTTTCAGGGCAGGCTCTCTAGTCTCGAACTTATCATTAGCCAGAACAAGCTCTGTATTTTATTTGGGTCTCCCGGTCCTCACCAGAGTGTTTGGGGTATGTGGTTGATCATTTCCAGGCACCACAGAAGAACTATTCGAGGTCTCTGTTCAGCCAGATCAGGCCCTGGTGGAGTCTGGACAGTCCCTCGTGGTCAACTGCAGCACCACCTGTCCAGACCCAGGCCCCAGTGGAATTGAGACCTTCTTAAAGAAAACCCAGGTGGGCAGAGGGCCTCAGTGGAAGGCGTTTCTCTTGGAGGATATCACAGAGAATTCCATCCTGCAGTGCTTCTTCTCATGCGCAGGGGTGCAAAAGGACAAGCGCCTGGGCATTTCCGTGTATCGTGAATGGGGCTGGGGAGGGAGGGAGGCGAGAAGGAACAGGAATATGTCTTATTTAGGGGAGAATTAGAAAGGGATTTCTTTTAGGGGAGAGAATTAAACAGTTAATGAGGATTTCCGTCATACTGTAGGATTTCTAGAACGAATTACTTTTTATTTATTTATTTTTTAAAGTGTAATTTGGGTAAACATTTACAGAGCAAATTCACTTTCCATACAGCAGTTCACATACACTTTGTCTCATGACATTGACTACAATTTACCCCGATGCAACAGCTCCCCTCCCACTTCCTCCAGATAGTTACCTCTTCCCTGTGTCCATCCCTCCATGCACTCCTGCCCCCTGGGCTGTCTCCCTGTGCATAAGCAACCCTTCTTTCTCCCATGATTGTTCTCTCCAAGGAGTGTATCTACCTCAGGTAAATGTTCAACTCATATGCCTGTCTTTTGTTTGGCTGGAAGCCACAGGTGTGGGTTCAATTCCAGACCTGAAGGGCAGCGAGGGGCCATAGTCTCAGTGGTTTCACCAGGCTCTATCAGACCAGCAAACCTGGTTCCCCTTTTTTTTCCAAATGATTTTGAGTTTTGTTGCACATTGTTCTCCCTCTCTATCCAGGATCTCCTACATAGATCCTCCTCTGAGTGGTTGACAGTGGTAGCTGGGCACCATCTAGTTCTTCTGGTCTCATAGTCGTATAGGCTGCAGATTGCGTGGTGTACCAGTCGCCAGGACTAATTGTTTCCATGAATCTTTGGTTTTCTTCATTCTTCTTTGCTCTGGCTGAGGAGAGACCCATCGTTGCATCTAGATGTCTGCTTGCAAGCTTTTAAGATCCCAGTCGCTACTCACCAAAGTAGGAGGTGGAACAATATTTTGTGTAGTATGTTATGCCAATTGAGCTTGATGTCCCCTCCGATAGAACCAATTACTTCTATTTCCCTTTGGTGCAGGCTTTTGTCAGGGTTTAAGTTAGGAGCAGACCGTATTGGGGATCCAGACGTCTGTGCTTGAGGGTATGTCCAAATACAGGAGGCATGAGCTAATAACGCTCATTTCTAAAGGATCATAAACAGTAAAAATCAGTGCTGAATTATTGGCTACAAATCCTTAGATTGGGCAGAAACTGGAGAAAAGGATCTTTTGGGCTCGGCAGCTAGAGAAGTATCCATGGGAAGGAAGCTGTGGAGCTTCAACCCTGCAGGATGGTTAAGATTTTGACTGATGGGGATGGAAGAGAAGGGTCTTTCAGGTGGCCATATAGCATTGGCAAAGACAGAGGCATGAGAATAAGTGTGGTTTCTGGGCTAAGAACTTTGCTAACTAGCGGGTAGTTTTTATGCTCCTCCAAAGTTGTTCATGCCCCTGAAGCACTGCTGGCGAGTGAGAAGCCCTCCAGAAGGTAGCAACAGTCAATGTAAGGGCTTAACAGTCACATTTCTTGGCTATGGCTGTAGACATTTAAGACAGGGCTGGCAAAAAGCAGGCACTGTGTTGATCAGATGGTTTAAGGCAGGGGTTTGAACTGATTTGAACTGGTTCAGTCATGGACATTGAAGCAAAACAGAAAAAAACTGAATTTAAAACATTCAGGTGAAGTGGAACAACAGCTGGAATAGGAAAAATTACAGGTCAAAGCTCTGGAGTAGGAGACTTGGAAGAGGCATAGGGAACCCTTGCAGGAGCCTGATAGGGGAGTTTGGATTATTGCCAGGACTGTGGAGAGTAACACATACTCAAAACAGCTGGTCGGCTGCCATCTTTGAGTGGGGCATCATTGTTTTTGACTCTGGTGATCAAAAGATTTGTTTGCTGTGCAACACACACACTGCCCTTGTTTTCTGAGAGGGAGATTAAGTTTCTAACAGGGGGTCAACCTATAATTTTTTTCCTGTACTGGTTCTCGTTTCCATTCACCCACATTTTACAAATTCAAGTCCATTCCAGTTTCACTTTGTCAGCCATGACTGAACTGGAGAGAGCTGGCATGAAGCCTTCATTTAAGGGTAGTAGTCACCTTATTTCACAAAATGCATGTCTTATGCCATTTCTCATCAAGCCACACCTTTTTGTCTTCAAGAGCCACCAAAGCAAGTGATCCTGGAGTTGCAGCCTGCGTGGGTGGCTGTAGATGAAGCCTTTACAGTGAAGTGCCATGTGCCCAGTGTACCACCTCTGGAGAACCTCACCCTTACACTTCTCCAGGGCAACCAAGAACTACACAGAAAGAGCTTTGTGAGTTTGGCTATGGCCGCTCAAAGCGCTGAGGTCACCGTCAATGTCAGAGCTCAAAGGGAGGGTGACAGGTGCAATTTCTCCTGCCGTGCACAGCTGGACTTGAGCTCACGAGGTGGGGGGCTCTATCATGGCAGTTCAGCCGTCAAGGTTCTCTGGCTCTTCGGTGAGTCAGAGCCCAGTCACGGAGGGACCCTGAGGATCGTTTTCCTCATCTTACCTTGGCCTTTGAGACTAAGCTCCCACAGGGTTTGGAGTGAAGGTGTGAAGATACTTGAGCTCCACCTCTACTTGGGCTTTAAACTCACCCTGGGGGAGAGGGAGGAACTCTGGTGGCATAGTGCCTAAGGCATTTGACTGCTAACCAGAAGGCTGGCAGTTCAAACCCACCAGCCACTCCTGGGAAGGACGGTTGGGCAATCTACTTCCATAGTTATACTGCCTCAGAAACCCAAGGAGAGGTCACTATAAGTCGGGTCCGATTCGATGGCAGTGGTTGAGGGAGATAGACTTTTTAGCCCCACTCTTTCCCCACCTTGTGGGATCCTACATGATACATGATTTATCAAGGCTTGTCTCTTTCTTTTTCTTTGTTTCTTGGCAGAATTCTCTCAGAGCCCCCAGATCTGGGTCTCTCCACTGCTGGAGGTTGGGATGGCCGAGAGTGTGAGCTGCGAGGTGGCTAAGGTGTTTCCAGCCCATGAGGTTATGTTCTCCATGTTCCTGGGAGACCAGGAGCTGATCCCTTTTCTCTTCTGGGAGGGAGACTCAGCATGGGCCAATGCCACCATTCGGGCTACAGAGACAGGGGACCAGGAGCTGTCCTGCCTTGCATCTCTGGGTCCGAAGGAACAGAAAACAAGAGCGGTGGTGCTTGTCTATAGTAAGTGACCTGCTTTTTCTCTTCCGTCTGGGTTCTCTGCCTCTGAAAACTTCCACAGTAGTGGCGTGGTGATTCGACTGCAGCTATCCCTGCTCACCTTTGTTTGGTAGGCACGCTCTGAAGTGGACACTACCCCTCTGTACTGTTTTTTCAGGGCAGGCTCTCTAGTCTCGAACTTATCATTAGCCAGAACAAGCTCTGTATTTTATTTGGGTCTCCTGGTCCTCACCAGAGTGGGGTATGTGGTTGATTATTTCTTCATTTTTGTCTGATAGTGTGGGTTGGATGGGGACAGGCATCGAAACAGTAGTTCTCCCCAGTCTTTACCCTAAGTTTCCATGGGCCACCCTGCTTACACGAGGTTGTGAGTGCTTGAACTTGTTCCTAGGGACAGTTACCTGAGGTGAGGAGGAAACCCATAAGATGAAAAGACACCCTGCATCCTTGTAGCAGGGGCGTGGCCAACCGTGCGTGTGCTGCAGTTGCCCTAAGAGAAGCTCTCAAATCTCCAAACGGCCTCATTGTTCCTGCCACACAGTTTTTACAGAGACAGTAATACACTGGAAGTCTTTGCCTTGCTGACTGCCTACCCAGGGCGTACTAGCAGCGAGAGTACACAAGTGGCCGCTGGCTTTGGCAAGTAGGTTTGTTCTCTTTCCTTTTCTTACAGGCTTCCCACCACCAGTCCTGGAGATAAAGGAATCAGACCCATTGGTGGGGACAGATGTTAACGTGACCTGTTCAGGGCATGAACTAACATCACCCAGCCCTGCTCTGCGACTTCAGGGAGCCCCGGATCTCCCTGCCCCTGGGGAGCCTGCTTGGATTTTACTTGCCGCCAGGGAGGAAGACGATGGCCAGAATTTCTCCTGTGAGGCCTCCTTGGAGGTTCGGGGGCAGCGGTTGATCAAAACCACTGATGTCCAGCTCCATGTGTTCTGTGAGTAGAAGTCTGAGCCTTCTTGCCAAAACAAAGATTGTTGGTCTCCCATTTCCAGGGATCTGCTTGGCCAGTGGCTTCATGTTTAGAGTTGCTATGTTTTTTTTGTTTTTTTTTTTCTTTTCTCTCTCTCTCTCTCTTTTTTTTACATAACAACCAAAGGAGAAAATATAATTAAAGCTGTCCCTAGGAATGTGAGTGAGGAGAAAGAGTGAGAAAATTGAGAAGAGAAAGAAAAGTGGTTGAAGTGATTGTGCAGCGTTAGTTGAACAATGGCTGAAAACTTACGCTAAGAAGGAAGACTTATGCTGAGGAGGGAAATTTCCAATAATTCCATTTTGGAAAGTAGAAAAGTTCTCATCTCTGTGTTCGCCTTGCCCACCTTGCCAGTCACTGAGAAGCAAGAAGGAAAGCGGGGCCCCAAGGTCCCCACCGACAGTGGTTTATCTACACACACCCTGCGGTACATGGCAGACTTGGGGAGGTGAATAGAGAAGCACTGGCTCAAATCCCATGGTCCTCCCCTGGGGAAGGAAAGGGGCTGGGGCAAGGCAAGGGAGGCGAGCATGAAAGGAAGGAGGCAGTGTGGCCGCTGAGCTCGGCTCCTGGGGGATGCTCTTCCTTCCTGTCCTGGCAACCAGACGTGGGTGGAAGGGACGGAGCAGGTGCTCACCTGCATCCCAAGGGGAAACCCGGCTCCAGGCTTGGTGTGCACCTGGAATGGAATGATCTTCAACCTTGGAGTTCCGCAGAAGGTGACCCAGAATCACACTGGAACCTCCTGCTGCGCGGCCACTAACCAGCTGGGCTCTGCCAGCAAAGACATTGCCGTGGTTGTTCAAGGTGATGCAGCTGCCCTGCTGAGGTCCCAGAGGGAAGTTGGGTGGGTGGGTCCTGGTGGTGGGATTCTTATCAAAGTGTAGAGAAGAGGAGGATGTTAGCGGGCAGGGGAGGACGTTAGTGGGTGGGGGAGGGTGAGACTGAGGCATGGGCGTGGTGAGTTGGGGCTGGACGAATGCCCTCAAGCCCTCCTGACTCTGTCTTCTATGCTTGGGCAGGACCAGAGGAAGGCCTCAGCTCTGCCATCTCTGTCATTATCATCATGGCCCTTGGCACGGGTGTAGTCGCCATAGTGCTGTATTTGAACTATCAGCCCTGCAAACTAGAGAGGAGGAAGTTGCCCTATAGGCAGAAAGACAACAACAAAGAAGAGGAAAGCCAGCTCGCTGTTCAACAAGCAGAAAAGTACAGCCCACATAATTGTTAAATAGAAGCATCCATTGGTTGACTGAGATCCCTACTGGGGTTTCCAGGGAGGGAGGAGGGAGTTGGAAAGAAAGGCAGAGCCTGAAACAGGCTATATTACCCTTTGTGTTCCGCAGTCCTGTAAGAATAGACCATGTCTCTGGCCCTGCGTCCACTGTATCCAATCCACCTCCAAAATCAGCTTTCTGTTTGGAGTGGCTGGTGGGTTTGAACCGCCAGCCTTCTGATTAGCAGTCAAAGGCCTTAGGCACTACACCACCAGAGCTGCCTTGGAGTTCTCTAGGAATTTCAATCTCAGTATGCAGGTGGTGAGAGGGCCTCTGGCTTCTTGCTATGTGCTTAACGAGTGCACTCTTGCGATTAGAAGAAAAAGGTCCTACCTTTGCCTCATCATCTCCCACTGCCGTTTGCTCCCTAAAACAACAGATTGCTCCTCAACATCAGACTGAAGAGATAATAAAAAATCTCAGAAATGCAACTCCTTTCCCTTGGTTTTCTGATGACTGCTTGGGGACTCACTTCCTGGTCTCAGGACGAAGCTCTATTCTTTCTCATTTTCATACTCCCCTGCTTCCCTGGCCTGGCGCTCCTGCATGCTGTCTCAGAGCTGAGCTTGATGTCATCATTAAGGAGGCCTGAATGCAGCTTCAACTCAGTAACCATCTATCCTGCGCCTTGTCAGAGTACAAAGGCCACACTTGATCAGACCAGCACCTCACCTATCTAGTAGTTCTGTCCCTAACGTGGAAGGCAGAGCTCGCCCATGAAATTGGCCTCAGGTTAAGGGATCCAACATCTCTGAATTCCATTTCATAATCGATTATGGGTTAATCATCTGTGAATTGACATTCGACTTACTGTCTTACCTATGCTGGCTGTTGGGGCAGAGTTCCAATGTTTAAGCTCCATTCCCATAAAGAGTGCATATTTTCATCTGTCTGCGGACTGTTTCTTTTAAGCTTCAAGAGAAATCCTCTTGTAACAGTGTACGCATGACTTCTTCTCTGTTCTTTGTAAAGAATATTTTCATCCCAGAGAAGGCATGAAGAACCATGAAACCAGATCTTTCCCCCAAAATGAGTCATGCATGGGGTTCTGAAATGTTGGATATGAAAAAAAAAAAGTTATTTTATGATATCTGAATATGTTTACCTTCTGCATCATTGCTGAGAGCTTTTTATTGAAACAAATTCCAAGAGTAGCTTTTTTGGAACTTTGAGTACAGTTTCTAAGTAGAGTACCAACTTGGTAGCATAAACAACCCGCCCAGGGTAGTTGGTACGTTAGCTCCAGGCAGCAGCTTATTTGAGGATTCAATGACCCATATTCATCCTGTCCTCAAAACTACAATTCAGACTTCCAAATAGATGTCTACAGCTTTCTAAATTACAGATCCTAGCTAGAAAGAAAGAATTCAACATCAGATACCAAAGGAAAAGATTCTCCTATTCTTGTTAGCATCTCCCCCTGAATTTGGGGTTATAGATTAGATGTAAAAATAACCCTTTGTTTTCTGTGATCCAACATGTACAAGGCAATGGGTAGAGAGCGGTGACCTTAACCCTGTCCCTGCCTTTCACAGCTTCTATTAGGGAAGTGAGAGCAAGCTAGACCACTCTTGTCAGTTTGTCGTACTGTGGTGGCTTGAGTGTTACTGTGATGCTGGAAGCTAGGCTACCAGTATTTCAAATACCAGCAGGGTCACCCATGGTGGACAGGCTTCAGCGGAGCTTTCAGACTGAGACAGACTGGGAAGATGGGCCATCCACTTCTGAAAAAATTGGTCACTGAAAACCTTATGAACAGCAGTGAAACACTGTCTGATATGTACTTCAGTCATGTTTTCAGAAGGGACCTACTGCTGGAGATGGAAATCATGCGTGGTAAAGTGGACAGTCAATGAGAAAGGGGAAGGCCCTCAACGAGATGGATTGACACAGTGGATGCGGTGATGGGCTCATGTATAGCAAGTATTGTGAGGAAGCTGCAGGACCGGGCAGAGTTTTGTTCTGTTGTGCATAGGGTCACTATGAGTAGGAGTCAACTGCACGTTGCTTAACGACAACAACAGAGCAAACGAACAGGAAATTACAGTTGTGTGTTAGCTCCTATGGTTGGGAAAGCATTAGGCTGTTACCAAAAATTCAAATGCCAAACTCAGGGAAGGGGAAGGTGAGACTGGAAGTTTCTTGTCTGATTTTGCAAAACAGCATCCCCTGACATGATCTCTTCAACCTCCCTTTTTCCACTGAGTAGAGGAAGCCTGGTTGCACAGTGGTTAAGTGCTTGGTTGCTAACTGAAAGGTTGGCAGTTCAAACCCACCAGCCGCTCCGTGGGAGGAAGATGTGGCAGTCTGCTTCCGTAAAGACTAAAAACCAAACCAAACCTGCTGCCATCGAGTTGATGCTGACTCATAGCGACAGGGCGGTTATACTCTGTCCTATAGGGTTGCTATGAGTTGGAATTGGTTCAGTGGCAAAGGGTTTAGTTTCATAGTAGCCACTGTTCTACTTTCTCATGTGAGTGTAAGATAAATTATTCACTTTTTTGAAATGAGCACTTGGGGAAGTGACTTAGGAAGCAGGTTTAAGAGAGATGAATATCTGTGATGGTTATGTTTGTGTGTCAGCTTGGCTGGGCCTGGTTGAGTGGCTGGGCAGCTGATGGTAGTTATTCCCCATGATGAGACTGGTAATCAACTCCATGGTGGGATCTACCACAAGCAACTGAGTAGCTGCCTTTGGGATGTGGTCTGCTTCCTGTATGTAAGGAGATGCTTTGAGAATGGTCTCTAGCCCATGGCACGCTTGGACCCTGCACGTAGCCGTGTCTTTGCTCAGCAGCCTGCTATGCTCTGCCGACCTTGGGACTTACAATGGACTTAAGTTAATGGCCTACCGTGTGGTTTGTTAACATTGGGACTGTGCCTTTTTACTTGTCAACCTTGGGGCTTCTCAGCCTTAGCAGCCAGCTGCCGTCTGAGTGAAGAAACACCTCTAGCTCCAGCGAGCCGGGAGCAGGAGGCAGAGCTGGACCCCAAGGTTGAGGGGCTTTCGCCCAGCCCCTAGAGCCTGGCACTTTGAACTTGGACTCAAGGCCTCCGAATTGTAAGAATAAACTCCTGTTTGTTTAAGCCATCTCGTTTGAGGTATATTCTTGTCAGAGCGGCACTAGGGAACCAGAACAGTATTGAACAGCCCGATCTAGGAGTCTCTAGCCATTTCAGCATCTTGAGATCCGCTGCATCAGATCTTCAAGTTTGTCTCACACCTGCAAAACCCACCTCATGGCCCCACGACAGGAATCCAAAGAAGGAGGGTGGAAGGGCGTGGGGAGTGGAGTGGTCCCGACTTCCTCACTTGTTCAGGGAGAGCCTGGAGGCTTAGCTTGCTACTGCCTTTCCTCCTAACTGTCACACGGTGTCGCTGTTACCAGGTTGTCCAACAGCCCAACAAACTCTGCAGCTCCGCAGACGCAGGTTCCCAGGGATCTGTGAGGGAGGGTGAGCCACTGCCACGGGCCTTGGTCCAGCTGAGGGTGACTCCTAGCTTGGGCTCCCAGGGTACACCTTGGAGAGCTCAGTACTTGGGGTTTGCTGTCCCACAAAGCTCTTCAGAATGGGCCTAGGGACTTCCCTTTGCAGACCTGGAATTCTGTTCCCTTTCTCTCCCCAGGGATCCACACCAGGGCTCTGGCAGCTCTTGTCAATTCCTAAAGCACAGAGGGTCTTGTGACATCCATTTTCCATTATAATAGAGCTGGTCTCTGCCCACTCTTCTAAGGTTAGCTGCCTGCATTGTGTCTGAGGACCCCACACCTAAAAACTTTTGATCCTACTCTTTTTCTGAGTAGAGCGACCAGCTCACACTTAACTGCAGCTACCCTGATTATCTTTAATTACCTTTAATTCTCTAAGATTTATCCTTGGAAGGATGACCAAGGTGACTTTTTGGTGTCTCCGTTTCTCTAGAGCTGAGAAAGCACAAGTTAACTATTGAGTAGGCAAAGTGCCAGCTTTTCTCCGTCCAGTGGAGCGTGGCTCCCTGACACTGCTGCAGGTTCAGAATCTTTTCTGAAACCAAATAAACTCTCTCAGAAGTTTTAGTTCAGACTTTACATATTCAGTGGGGCTTCTAACTGTAGGGATCATAGTATTTACCTTAAAAAGCCAAACCCAACCCGTGGCCATCCAGTCAATTCTGACCTCATAAAGAGTAAAACTGCCCCACAGGATTTCCAAGACTGCCTCATCTTTCTTCTACAGAGTGACCGGTGGGTTTGAACTGCTGGCCTTTTGGTTAGCAGCTGAATGCCTTAACCACTGCACCACTAGGGGGCCATAGTATTGACTTTCTTACTGCCATCAAGTTGATTCCAACTCATAGTGACACCCACTGGGTTTCCAAGGTTGTAAATCTTTATGGAAGCAGATTGCTCTATCTTCCTTCCGTGGAGCAGCTGGTGGGTTTGAACCACTGACCTTCTGGTTAGCAGACAAATGCCTTATTCACTAAGCCACCAGAGCTCCTTAGTATTTACCTTGTTGTTGTTGTTGTTGTTATGTGCCGTTGAGTCAAACCCAACTCATAGTGACCCCTCCTTGGGTTTCCGAGGCAGTATCACTATGGAAGTAGGACTGCTCAAACTTCCTTCCGAGGAGTGGCTGGCAGGTTTGAACTGCCAGCCTTCTGGTTAGCAGGCAAGTGTCTTAGCCACTATGCTACCAGAGCTCCCAGTATTTACCTTAGAGAGTTATAATTAGAAATGACACAGTGCTTGTAAAACATGAGCATAGTATTGCATACATGTATTCATAAGTGTGAGCTTTTGTTATTACATTAAAAATAATAGCAATAATAATGCTGGTGGTATTCTAACTATAATCATTATAAACCCAAAGGTAAGAGTCAGAAATCCCTGGCAACCACTGAGGACCATCAGAAGTCATATACATCACACCTTTCCCACATGTTCTCTCTTCATTTTTCTCCTTTGTTCCT